TCCTGCGCCCGCGACCACGCCAACCGACCTTGGACTCCCCCGTCCACGGGTCTGCCTCAGCCTGTCGCAGCTTATCCCTGCGCCGTTGCAGGACGATGCGACTCCTTGATAGACAGCTGGCGCGCTGGGAAAAGCTCGCACGCGCTTCCATGGAGAGCAGCTGCCAAATTTCAGCCGCAATGGATGGTAGGGCAATTAGCCGGAGAAGGTGCGGGATGATCGCCCACCGCCAACGGTTACTGAGTGAGTCAATGTTGCCACTGCGCCACTGGGCAATCACATCCCGCTTCCTGCGAGGGCACACTTCACGGGCCCATCATCAATCTCGACAATTCTCACGTTTACGTGACAGTCTGCAGTCGGGGCGTGGATTGTTGGGTGCGGATTGTTGGGTGAACATGTGGAACAGGAAGGTCCCACAGCGCGAGCATTGTTGCCGATTTTGCCGCGGCTTTGCAATGGGGGGGCAAAGATTGATTTTTTCAGGCGCTACACAGGCATTCGCTGTCTTCGTTGACCCGCGCCCGCCCGCCGACAGAGATACCTTCGAGGATCATGGCCCGCTCGATGGCCAGGGCCACTCGGCGATCGACTCAGCCGCGGACGACGACGCATCGCAACCAGCGGCAGCTGCAGGCAGAGAAGCGGGCCCTGGATAGGAAGTCGACGCGACCTGTGCTCAGGCGGCCGCTGCAGCATCGGACGCGGCAGAGATGCCAGTGCCACCTTCGATGACGACCAGATCAACGCGGACGCCGATCGCTGAAGCTGACATCGACCTCCCACCAAGAGGTGATGCACATTTTTCCGATAACCGGGCTGGGGACTCGACTGGCGTAGCTATGTACAGAGTTGTCATTGCAGACTGGGCTCCGACGAACGATGAATCGATTGCCGGACCAACGTCGCCGATTGCGACTTGCCACGAGGCCGCGAGGCTCTCGTCGCGCTGTCCAACAACAACAAGCAGACGTACACCTTCGAAGACCAATGTCGTCATCCACCGCCGCGCGCATTGCGAGCTCACCCAGGGCATGTCGCATCCAGGGCGCTCCACCGTCGTGCTCGACGACCACTTGCCGCGCGGTTGGGCGACGTGGCATCCAGGGGGAGGCGGCCTCCAGATGTCCACCGATATTGTCTTGGAGGGCTTGGAGGCGTTCAAGAATCCACCCCGTAGGCGTTGCTGCTTGGATGGGTCCTGCGTTCACTGTCATGCAGGATATCGACAAACAAAAATATGCTGACGACGCGACGCGCTGGGCCGCCACCCAGGAGTCATTTGTTTGAACGATGTGCTGGGCCCAACCTCCAGAGTTGACAGAATCATTAACCGCCTGGACGGTACGTGTTTTATGTTTCTTGCTCGCCCCATTGCCCCTGGTCGTGACATGACCGAGCCTTGCTTCAGGGAGTGGAGCACTCGGGCGGACGTTTTCACTCATGCTGCCCGTCTGGGCGACGATGTATTTCATGATCGTATAGGGCAGGGGCCCAGTGATGTTTCTAAGTCATTGCAGGTTTCGAGCCATCGACTGCTGTTTCGATGGTGGAGTTTCGACGGCAGGAGTCGGAATTGGTTGCTGGATTGATGTCGGTCGTGTCTCGCGGACTTGTCGTAAGCCGAGCTCCAGAGATGTTGTGTGGAAGGAGGTGTAAACAACTGCCTTCGCTATCGGCAAATATGCTACAGTGACTGATGCCGAGATGTCGGCGATCGAACGTATCATTGATGCTCTTCCACGGGGTATTACTACATACTTCGAGTGTGAACTGTCGTGACTTTGCGATTGCGCTGCCGCATGCCATGCTCGTGTGTGCGTGTGTGTGTGTTGTCGTGTATGCGCGCGTGTTGGTATAATAGCTTCGCCTGATCTTCACGAGTTCTGAATACGAGTTTCGCTTTCCCCATTTTCGCAGGTGTTTTGGTGGGCGGCTTGCTCTGTATGTTGCCCGTTTCTTGCTTGCGACTGGGCCAGGCGGCCCGCGCAGTCGACCGCGAAGAGCGCAAATACCTCCAGAGGGATGCTCGGTGCTCTGCGGCGGGGGGAACTCCTGCGGCGGATGATCAAACTTTCTGGAGGTGATGTGGGCCCCCTGGGCCCCCGTCGAGCTGTCGGAAGGCGACGTCGGCCCCTGGGCCCCCAGCGCCCCCCCGGGGCGCCGTCTCGTGCCTGACATCGATCGCCCGCCCACGGCGCGATCCACTTGCTGACCGCCGCGCTAGGATCTGCGTGAAATCGCGCGTCGCGGACCCGCGCGGAACCGGGGCCCGAGCGTCGGCCAGGGGCTTAGATGCCCGGTGGGAATCGAACGCGCTCCGATCGATCCCGATCAGTCTGAGACCATGCAGGCCGCCGACGTTGAGACCGTCAAATCGCGTCTTGTTGATGAGTATCACGCGGTCACATGCCAGGTTTCGGCGCGCGTTCTCGCGCGCCCATCGGCCGCCAGAGAGGACGGGCCAGCTGCCTCAGAGTTCCGCGCCGTTGCTTTTCGATGCGACAGCGGTGCGCGGAGGCCCCCGCCGAAGCGCAGCGATGGAGATTGCCGCTTCCTGCCCGCCCGTCCGCGGCGACCCCCTCGGCCGAGGGGAAAGCGCCATCGTTTTCAGATGGAGGGGCTAGTTCCGCGAAAGGCCCCCCCAGGTCGCAGAGGCCATCGCCGATCCCGGCGGCGAGTGGCCGCCGCGACCCAGCGGCGGAAAATCGCGGGGGGGCAGCTTGGAAGCGCCGCTGATATCGCGACAAGTCCCCGGGGCCATTCGCCCTGATGGCTGCCCGCCTCGCGACCCCATCGCCGTTGAATAGCGGCGGTGCCTTGGCCGCGGCGTCGAGTCCTGGCCGCGGTCTGACCCGCTGGATCGTCGGAGCTCGGGCCTCGTGTTCTGCGGCGGCGAGGCGGAGGGCCGCGCCGGACAAGGCTTAATTTGTTGGGCAGAGGACGCGACCAGGCACTGCATCGGCATCGAAGAGGCACGACAGAGGAGCGCATATTTTCTGAATTCCGAACTTGGCGGTTCCCGGCTGACCACGAGGATGGGCGCCGCGTGGCCGCGAGGGCCCGGGGGGGCCACCCGCGCGACTCGCTGTCCGTGGGTCGGGCCGTCTGCGGGCTCCGCCCAGATCTGGATATGGGGCAACCGCCCCCGCTTGCCGGGGAGGAACGTTTTGCTGCTCAGGAGACGCTTGTCCGCGACGCGGCGACGTCGCGCGCCGCCGCGGCTTCCGAGACTGCCGGAGGGGGTCGGCGGGCGCCCGCCCCCCCCCTGGAGGAAAATTGGCAAGGGAGTTAGGCCCAGTCGCTCGCGCAGTGCCCCTGCCGCCCCGGAGCGCCCCGCTCGCGCGTCGTTCGCGGCGCTACCGCGGCGGCCTCCTCCGCCAGTGGCGCCGCTGCCGCCTCCTGCGTCGAGGGTGGCGCTCGACTTCCCGCTGGGTTCGCAGGCGGGCGCGCGCCCCAACCGCGCCGCCGCGCCATCTTGCGACGCCGCCGCAGTGCCCAGGGCAAACCCAGGGCATGATCAGGCCGACTCAGTGGAACACCCATGTCGGAATGTCGTTTCGAGCAGACGGGTATGCGTTGATTCCCAGCACGGAGGTTCTGTTTCCACCGCGGCACGCGTTGCGTCCGCGGGCTTGCTGTCAAACAGTATCGTTGTTGTATCGGCTCCAGGGCGTGCTGGCTAGCATGGCCCCGTAAAACATCTGGATTCGTGCTTGTCCTTGCGCGTGCGATTTGAATCTGCCGCAGTTGTCGAGGGTCTAGCGTTTGACGCTGCTCCGTGAGCTTCGGGCATGACATTGAAGACGACAAGACAACCGTATTGTGACCCCACGAATTTTAGGGAGAGAGTTGCCTCTTCCGGTTACAATACTTCGAGATGTGAGTTGCCAAGCCCAATCAAACATATGACCTTGCTTTGCTGGCGCTCTCAACGCTACGTCGTCGGGCGTCACACTTTGTGGCGTAGGGAGCGAACGAAGAGATTCGGATGTTCTATATAATGTGAAGTGCTTGGACAATGTGTTGACGCATCATTGGGGTGTAAATCTGATTGGGAGTGAGTGCTCCATCGCGCTGATACAATCGCAGGTTGGAGACGCGCATTTCGCGCGCCCCCCCCCCGCGCGCGCATTGCCTTTGGCGACATGGAATGCAGGGCGATGCGCGGGGCAACCCAGTCCTGTTGATCTGGCCGCTATCGCATTCTCGATATCCTAGGCTGCCCATTCCTATGTCCTTGCAAACAAATTCGACGCATTTTGCATTTGCGTCGGCTTTCCATCCGTCCAACTCGGGCAAGCCGGGCGGCGCGATGTCCCATGCGCGCTTCTATCAGAATTCGCCCTGGGCCTGAAACCGCAGCACCGTTGCAGTCAGGTTAGGACGGGCCCATTCCCTTGTCTCCCCAACCCCGTCACATGGGTTTCGCTTTTGCGTCGCGCGGGTTGGGTCTCGGGGCGGAGGGTGGGAGTTGCCCCCTTGTTTCCCGCGCTCTTTACTTTGCCGCTGCCCTGTTGTGGCTCGCAGGCGCTGGCGCGTGCCAGTGAGTGACGGATCAGTGCAAATTGGTAAAACCTTCATCGTCGCCATTCATTCATTGCTATCGTGTGTGCCAGCGGATATTCGGGAGGGGGCAGGCCTTTCTGCAACTCTTCCCTCGCGCACCAGAAGCTCGAAGAATCGAGGGCCCCGAGAACATTAAGCGACCTTGGGAGCATCAGTCATTGCGGCCTATCGGGGCCCTCTTGGGGAAGCCGTTGGGGCTCTCATGGGGCGCGTTTTTGGGCCGCATTGGGCGTTTCGGACCGATCGCGCGGGGATTCGGAGCCGTCGTGGACCGTCAGGGCGGCCCGCCGACGCCATCTGGGATTGCTCCGGGGCCCGTTGTGGGCCCGGGAAAGATAATTCATGCGACAGGTCGGGACGGGCCCCAAAGGGCCCGCGGAGGGAGATTCGGCAATTTGGGGCCCGGAACCCCGTAATATAGTCTTGAGGATCGAGGGCTTAGATTCAAGGTATTCGGGCAAGGATGCGAGGACACTCCAACCCGTACCTCAGGGCACGATGGCGGACAACCGCACAGACATATAAGTTGCGTTTGTGGGCATGCGCCGCGATGTCCATTCGGCGGGGCACTCGGCAGCACAGTCCCGCGCTACACTCGGGCGGTTCAGTTGGCCAAGACACTTGGGTGGCGCAATCGAATGGTGCACTTTGGCGGCGAACTCGGGCGATTCTCCCCTGTGGCGCAGTGGCGCTGTAGATGCGGGTGGAAGTCGGGCAGTCAACACAAACGCAGTCGGGTGATCGGATCGGCCATGGCCCATCCCTCCGCGAGCGACTTTTGTGAGGGATATGCTCCACCCTGTTGCTTTCGACATCGTCATTATCATTCCTATTTTTTTGTCAACGTCGTTATCGTCCGTTGGCATGCCTATCGTTCCCACTGCCATCGACCGTGAAGTCTTGGGATCAGCGCCTTTTGGCTAAGGTGACTGTGCAGGCGGATTGTCCGCACGAGTTGGGTGCCAAGCCAATCTTCCCAATGTCCGTCCTAAACTTATATGGTATTGTCCACCACGTGGAGCGCATTTGCGCTGTGGCCTGCGCCGCCATGATGCTAGGGCGCCTGATTCGACAGTTGTGGACCGAGGGCGTCCCGCGATCTTGGTTTCGCGATTGCTATGGTCGATGGCTCGCGTGGTCAGCAGTCTTCAGGGCGGTCGTTTTTGGTAGAGCTGGCATCAAGCGCAAGCAGTTCATTAGGCTTGCCATGGCACGGAGAAGCTACCAGTTCTTTTTGGTCGGCGCCTTCGCGCTTATCTTCCCGATCGTCCTCTCCCCCGAACCGCTCTTTTTCCCCTCCGAAGATGTCCGCCCGCATATGCTTCCGAGGCGTTTGCATTACGCTTTCAGCTGGGTGGTTATTGTGTCAGTGAATGTGTTTCCTAGCTTGTTGACCCCATCGCGTCTTCATGTGTGGTATTCCCTCTTATCACTCTCACATGCGATGACACTGTCACCGCTGTTGCAGTTCTCGGGGGCAATTGGCCCCCTCAAGTTCCAGATATTCTATGATTGCCTAATGTACTGTATGGTTGACCTGAGCCTTCCAGCGAATGTGCTTTGGACGACGATTTGCTATGCTTCCGCTTCGTACACAGTGATTGCTGGCGAATCCAAACCCCCCAAAACGCCTGGCGGCAAACCGATCGGCATGAAGTACCCCGACCCAAAGATAATACATGACGTTGTGCACGATTGGATTTTGGCCGTTATACTTTTGGTAGTCATCCACGTCGTATTCTCAATTGTGGTCAATTCCCTCTTAGAGGGTCAAGCATGCCGGAGCGAATTGCGCGCCGCAAGGTCGACCTTAGCAGGCGTTTGTGACGCCGTCGTCGAGCTCGATTCCAATCTGATGCTCGCGGGGCCTTCCGAAAAACTTGCGGCTTTGCTAATGCATAGCCAGCCTCGGTCTCTGGTGGGGTTGAGCGTATCGTCCTTTCTTGCCACAGAGGCAGATCGCGAGAAATTTGCCAAAGAGGTAACCTCCAACACCGCGCATGATGATTTCTGCACGGCTTTCCACGTCAAATTGCGAGACAATTTTGGCATCTATGTGTCGGTGGAAGTTTTCAGCGTACGTTTCAGTAGTAGTGATGAAAAGGAGTCGTACCTAGTCGGCTTTCGGGAATTTGCTGACCTGGCTCCATCAAGGAGGACGCAGCCGAGTGTGCCGACAATGCCTAGTGCTGATATGACGATGGATGTTCAGAGCAGGTTACAGTCCTACGAGACTGAACGCAAAGATGGTGGCACCAATTCCGAAGGGGAGTCTTGCGCATCGTCTTCTATTCCCGAGGTTGCTGTTTGGGTCGACGCTATGTCACAAGACTTAACCATGTTGCGTTGCACTATGGCCTTCGAGATGTTGGTGGGCAGCTCTTGGGCGCAAATCTGTGCTACCGAGTGTCATCTTCTGCAGTGTACTCGGCCAGACCAGCGAGATGACTTGAAGTTCTGGGTTCGTCATGCCTGCGACAAGTCCACTGCACACGTTTTGCCAACTGTGAGTGGTGTGTGCTTCCGTTTCGGTGAGCATCATCATCGCTCACGTTTCGCCATCAAGAACAGGGTAAGAGTGTCCGTGGCTCCGCCAGGCGGCGAAGACTGGCCCGAGGGCCTGGACCGACCTCCGTGCGTGGCGAAGCTCGTTCTCGAGAGGCCCAGGTGGATCCAGGATCAACGCTGGACCCGGCGTGCCAGCGCGCCCGTGCGCCCTCGCGCCCCTCTGTCGGCAGGCGCCCTCGGCTCGGACGGCGCTGGCGCGGCCGCGGCGGCGGCCCCCGAGGACGCTGGCAGCGCCCCGACCCCACCGCAACGCATCGGCCAGGCGGCACAGCCGGTGGCAGCGAGCGGCCCGAGGCCCGAGGCTCCCGCGGGCGCCGGCGCGTCCCCGGCCGAGGCGGGCAGCGCTCGGTCGTCGGACAGCGAGGGGAGCCGCGGGTGGCTCTCGCTCTGACGTGCAGTGCTGGCTGTCCACTTTTAGGGTCAAGTCGGACACGTCCCTCTAGAGGAGGAATGTTCACACATCGTCAGTGCAAAGTCGGGGGACGACTTTTTGATTCTGTTCGACAATGTTCGTGCATGTTTCGAGTAGTTTGAATTTATCGTCCAAAATCCGCCTGTAGGGGGCATGCCCGAACGAACAATGACATAAACGTAAAAACTCGGAGGCCCGCGCGGATCTCTCGGATCCGCGCTGGACCCTCTTGGCAGCGCCTCCGGCGCCGCCCCTGGCGCGTTCCGCGCGCCAGGGAGGGGGGGTGAAGTACGGATCCGAGGAATCCGCGCGGACCTCCGAGTTTTTGTGTTTACGTCATTCTTCGTTACCCTAATGTTGGGTTCGAGCAGTAGTGGTAGCTGAGCAGCAGCTTCCATGGCTAGCCAGGTGGAGACGGGGGGGAAGAGAGAGGGGAGATGCAGCATGAGGGGGAGGGGATCATCGCTGGGTTTTTGCATTTCACTTTTAATAAGTACCTTGGCTAATCGTGGTGGCTGCCCCTGAAGCCTTGAAGGCGCCCTCAGTGACACGCTGAAGGCCGAAGAGAGACTCCAGAAATAGCCGCGGCGTCATCTAACCTCTTAGAGCCGTCTTCGACATGAAAGTCGAGAATCCCAGAACTCCCCCCCACAAGAAGCACCCAAGGTTTCGACGGACATGGGTCTGAGTATTTCCCTACCTAGGCTCTGCCTAGAAGGGTTCTTACTCGTTTGCTTAAAGGGCCGGGCAGTGGAAACCGCCCCGGGCGGTTCCCCCGGTCCCCTGGGAGCGGTTCACCCAGTTGCGCTCCTTGGGTGCCCAGCAAAAACAAAAACAATGGCAAAAGTGAAGGCAAAAACGAAGGCAAAGCAAACACATAGCATAGCATAGCATAGCATAGCATAGCATAGCATAGCATAGCATAGCGCAGCATAGCATAGCGCAGCATAGCATAACATAGCATAGCCTAGCCTAGCCTAGCCCAGCATAGCATTGCGAAGGATAGCATAGCATAGCATAGCAGAGCAGAGAAGAGCATAGCATAGCATAGCATAGCGCAGCACAGCATCCACTATTGCTGCTGCTGCTATATATGTGTGTGTGCGCACGAATGTTCCATGCATGGCCTGTAGATAGCTTTGGCCAATGGCATCAGGGAGTGGCCATGCAGCGGACGTGCCGGTGGAAACCATGGTGCGGCACCACTGCTCAGGCAACAGAGACCGCGGTCGCGGAGTGTACCGGCCAGCCCGAGAAGCAATTGCATCGAATATTTGGGATGTACCGCGTAGCCCTGCCGGGCTCACGCGAGAAGACCCGTGCTGCACAGCCGGTCCGCCAGAGTAAAAAGCGGCGCGTATCAATTATGCGCCCCGCCACCAACAGTCTCTCACCAACGGCACCGGCGACTGATGACTCGATGTCATTCGGATTCTCAGAGAGCACGGCCAGTGCTGCACAACCTGGCCCACCGCGAGTCACGGCCATCATTGCAGGTGCCGACCCCAGTACCAATGTTGTTCAACCTGGCTCAGCAGCAGCATCCGCGCCAGCACCAGTACCAGGAGAAATCGTCGACACCACTACCACGGGTCCTAGTGTTGCACCACCTGGACCCGGCAGAACGCTGCAGCACTTGTGCACGAAGTACCAGATCACCGCGTTCCAACGACATCACCGCGTTCCAACGACCCTTCTACTTGCTCACGATTATGAAACTACTCCCGGTTCAGTGGGGTGACCGCGCGGAACTCTTGCCGCGAACATCCTGGTCGACAGCCTGGGGCGGAGGCAAAGTCATCACCGCCTTGCTCTTCAAAGGGGAGCGCATCGTGCCAGAGAGCGGTGTTGATATGCGGAGGAACGCTTGGGATCAGTGGTGCTACCACAGCTGCAGAGCGAATGAGGTGTTAGCTTGCGTTCTGAATCACAGCGAGTTCGGTGACCGCCTCTTGCAAATCGGCTTCGAGCACAACCCTGTTCAAATGCGACGGTCGATTGCTAACTTGCAGCGATTCTGCTCAAGATCTGCGAGTTGCGCAAGCGGAACCAGTCACGGCGATCTGTGTACTACTGGTTATTCGACACAGTCCCTGCGCGCCAAGAGTGGCTCGGGCGACTCCACGACAGAGGGGAGGTTGTGGTCAGACCACTCTGGTGAAACCGCATATTCCAGCGCCGATGATGCCCGCCGAAACAATGCTGAACAGCTTGTTGCACCGATCTGGGAGTTGTTGCTGCTGTACAGTTTCGTGGGAACGTTCGGTGTAGCAAGTGTTGTACTACCTTGCTCAATGTCAAGTCGTGCGGTGTAGGCTGGATCCGGAGCATTCTCAAGCACGCCCGGTGAGCGAATTCAAGAACACGCGTGCGCGCGCGTGTGTGCGCAGGCAAAGCACGAGCAAAACCAAGCAATTTCAAAAAACAAAAGCAAAGCAAAAGCAACCGCGAAAGCAAAAAGCAAAAGCAAAGGCAAAAGCAAAAGCAAAGGCAAGAGCGAAATCAAAAGGCAACGCAAAGCAAAAGCAAAACCATCGCGAAAGTGTAAATTTAGATGTAGGTGTAGGTGAAGATGTGAATGTAGGTGTAGATGTAGATGTATATGTAGATATAGGTGTAGACGGAGGTGTAGATGTAGATGTAGATGTGAATATCGTTGTTGATGTAGATATATATGCAGGTGTAGATGTAGCTGTAGCTGTAGGTGTAGATGTAGACGTAGGTCTAGATGCAGATGTAGGTGTCAATGTAGATGTCGGTGTATATACAGATGTAGATGTAAAACAATCCCCAGTGCCCCGCCCTTATATGCGTGCCTGCTTGCTGTCGCTGCTGTCTCGGCGACTTGCTGCCTGCTGCTGCTGCTGCTTCACTTATGGCGTGGCGTCGGCAATTCTGGCGCTACTACTACTACTACTACTACTACTACTACTGCTACTACTACTACTACTTCTACTGCTACTACTACTACTGCTACTCCGACTACGACTACGACGACTACTACAACAACAACTACTACTACTACTACTACTACTACTAGCACTACCACTACTACTACTACTACTACTACTACTACTACTACTATTATTACTACTACTACTACTATTACTACTGCTGCTGCTACTATTACTACTACTACTACTACTACTACCACTACTACAACAACGATTACTGCTGCTACTACTACTACTACCACTGCTACTACGAGTACTACTACTACCACTACTACAACTACGACTGCTGCTACTACCGCTACTACTACTACTACTACTACTACTACTGCTGCTACTACTACTACTATCTACTACTACGACTACTACAACTACCTACTACTACTGCCTACTACTACTACTACTGCTACTACTACTACTACTACTACTACTACTACTACTACTACTACTACTACTACTACTACTACTACTACTACTACTACTACTACTACTACTACTACTACTACTACTACTACTACTACTACTACTACTACTACTACTACTACTACTACTACTACTACTACTACTACTACTACTACTACTACTACTACTACTACTACTACTACTACTACTACTACTACTACTACTACTACTACTACTACTACTACTACTACTACTACTACTACTACTACTACTACTACTACTACTACTACTACTACTACTACTACTACTACTACTACTACTACTACTACTACTACTACTACGACTACTACTGCGACTACGACTACCACTACTACTACTACCGCTATCGCTACAACTACGACGGTGAGGAAAAGGAGGAGGACGGCGCTTACCGCTCCTACTAATGTTGCTTTCTTAGAGGCTCCAACTCCCAGGTAGGGTCGCACTGGGGTAATTTTCCCAACCATCCTGTGGTGTTGGGTCCTCGTTTTGAAGAGACGGTCCGCGCGTCCCTCCTTTCCTCTCCTCTCCTCTCCTCTCCTCTCCTCTCCTCTCCTCTCTCCTCTCCTCTCCTCTCTCCCCTGTCCTCTCCTCTCCTCTCCTCTCCTCCCCTCCCCTCCCCTCCCCTCCCCTCCCCTCCCCTCCCCTCCCCTCCCTCCTCCCCCTCCCCCCTCCCGTCTCCTCCATGCGTTTCACCCAGCCAGTACAGCGCTTCGTGGCCCCATAGGGAGCTCTCAAGACGACCCCAAGATGGCCTCCAGAGGGGGGACATGAACCGAAATTTCGAGTTCTCCGCTTCATGAAGCTTCCTGGAGGCCTCAAGAAGGCGCCAGGACGGCCCCAGGCGGGCTCCACCGGGCACCCGAGGCCCCAGACGAGTGCCCCGAAAAACACAAATCATTGATTTCGCACGGGTTTTTCAATATTGTTTGTGCCTTCTGTTTCTCGACATCTTGACACTCCACGACGGCTCAGAAGGCCTCCGACGTCGCCCCAGGACGGGCTCAGTGGCCCCCCAGGAATGGACGGTTTAGCAGGGTTGCATGACGCCCCCAGGGGCGCCCAAGACGACCCAGAGGGAGGGCATGAACCGAAATTCCAAGTTCTCCGCGTCCCGAAGCTCCCTGGAGGCCTCAAGAGGGCGCCAGGACGGCCCCAGGCGGGCTCCAGTGGGCGCCCGAGGCCCCGAACGAGTGCCCCGAGAGTCCAAAATCTGTGATGACCCCAAGGTCTTTCAACGTTTTGGGCACCCCTACTCAATCAAGCTTCCGACAATTCACGGCGGCCCAACAGGCCCACAAAACCGCCCCAAGACGTGCCAAGAGGCCCCCAGCAGAGCCCCAGGACGGCCCGACAGAGCCTAGGGGGCCGCCCAAAACGGCCCACGGAAAGCTTCCAGACGGCACACGAAGCCCGCACCAGCCCCCAAGAGAGCGCCAAGAGGCCCCCCAAATGCCCCCAAGACCGCCGACCAAGGATTTCCAAACACTTCAAGACAACCGATGACTGTTTCCAGTCCGCTCTATTGCCCCTTAGACCCTTCAAAGGCTGACGCATGACCCCTTCGAGAACGCCATGATGCCTTCCGAAGGCGCCCCCAAACAGCCCCGAGAGGCCACAAGAGGTTGCCATGACTCCCGAACCGAAGATGCACCATCGATGCACCAAAAGGGCTTCCAATAGCTTCCGAAGAGCCCACAAGAGAGCTGAAAAAGGCCATAGAAACATCAGCAGACTTCAGCGTTCTCGTTGTTATAAGCTCCCAGCGGCTTCAGGCGCCCACAAGCGGCCCCCAAACGGCCCCAGTGACCCCCAAGAGAGCCCCACGACGGTCC